CTGCCCTCACGGCAGGACCAAATGCTGTCCAGACCATCTCTGATAGACATTTATCTAACCTACTCTTAAATATCTCCAGAGATGGGGATTCCACAACCTCCCTGGGCAATTTATTCCAGTGTTTAACCACTCTGGGTATATCTACACTACCCCGCTAGTTCGAACTAGCGGGGTAGTGTAGATATACCCAGAGTGGTTAAACACTGGAATAAATTGCCCAGGGAGGTTGTGGAATCCCCATCTCTGGAGATATTTAAGAGTAGGTTAGATAAATGTCTATCAGAGATGGTCTGGACAGCATTTGGTCCTGCCGTGAGGGCAGGGGACTGGACTCAATGACCTCTCGAGGTCCCTTCCAGTCCTAGTATTCTATTACTGACTACATAGAACTGAAATATGTACTATTAGACTGAAAATAAAACTAATCAGCTTTGTGGGAAAGACTTAAGGAGATGAGTATCATCAGGACCCTTTTCTCTGCCAAAGAAAGCCAGAAACTGCTCTCCCCTTGCTCTCATCATGTTAGCTGGGTGGCAATGAGCTATTTACCCACAGATAGCTCATGTTTGTTTTTTATTTTAAAATTATTTAAATTCAACTTGCAGTGATCATGATACAATTCAAATTACCATTGGGTTTAATGGTGCACAACAAACTGAAATCTATTTGATAAAATCCTTAATTTGTCATAATACCTGGCTTTTTTATAATCGATATGAACTGGAATGCAAAGGCCTAAGAACTGATATCAGAGATTCTAAAGTAGAAACCAAAAATATATCAAGATGAATACAGTAATTAGTTACCTAACAACAAAAGACGAAGAAATGTAGCCAAAATGTTTGGTAAATGAACCCTTGTCATTTCTCCAGGCAAATATTTAACACTGAGAATAGCACACATGAACTGTTGTAATGTATAAAATAGTTTATTACTGTAATAAATAAAATTAAACTTTTTTTACAAATAGTATCTGTGCTTGTTTAAAAATGTTGATAAGGGAATATTAATGTAGGTGAATGCAACTGTATCTGAACATACCAAAACAGGAGATACACAGTATATCTACTGGCAGCTTCTCTGCTGACCACAAAAATAGTATCTACCCATTCTTTTTTTTAATTCATGCTTGACTCAACAAAGTGACAAATGTGAAGGAAAAGAAACAAGAGGGTATTGAGTAGGTTTCTGAGGAGATGAAAACAAGTGAAATACATTTAAAAGCGCCAGAGCAACTGCATAACTGCATAACAATTAAGTGTCCATGCAGTGGTGGCTAAATATTTAAACGCAGACAGATTTCCATCAAATGTACAGATATTAATTCTATGTAGTTCAGTAGTATAGCACATTCATTAGAAAAAGTCATCTTTCTTTATATAGCAGTTAATCCTGATACAAGAGGACTGAGTGGCCTGTAAACCCTAAAGTTTCACATTGAGTGCAGATATGAACCAAAAAAAACAAAACAAAAAACCTCACCAGTTTTTAGAACAATTTCATGAAAACCCCAAGCAACTTCATTAACACTGGGCATTTAAATCCAGTTACAGAGATGCTCTGGGATTACACATCAAACATGTTTACACCACACATCAGTTTGAAACAAATAACAGCTGCAAGTAAAGTCACATCAGTTTTATTTAACCATAAAATAAATAAAACACTCCCCAATATGAACACTTCAGCGATAGGATTTGTCAGCTCCCTGATATATAAAAGTGATTAGACAATGTTTTGTTTGGGGGAAAGGGCTGCTGGAGTAATTTATTTACTAAGAAGGCAATAAGTAATTACCTACAAGAGACTTCCATTAGACTTAAAAAGCTAATCAAAGTGCTTTATATTTAGACAACACTGTAAACACTACAGAACTGAATCACAGTTGAACTCACTTATGAAGGGTCTTAAGGCCAAGTGTTGAATGCTTTATTGCAAGAAGCTTTATTTTTAATTAATTGAATCAATGTTCACCACAAATGTGGGCCAGAACAAGAATACAGAAAACCTCAGTATTTACTGTACCTCACATTGAATTTGTGGGACTTTCTTTGAGATGTGTCTTCATTACTCAGAAGTGCAGATGAAATACAGACTTTATTGCCTATACACTCACAGGAGAGAGCCTTTGGTGGGCCTTGGAATTTGTGACTTTGGCTTCCTCTGTGTCAGTCACAAATTCCGAGGCCAACATGGCAAGTGCATTTCTACCCCTAGTGCTAAGATAAGAAAACAAGTGCAGTGACAAGAAATGTTTAAGACTTAAGTCATTCAAAGCCATTTTGACCCATTGTAAGTATAGTATTCTCAGCACCTTTGAGACAGCACCTTGTCCCAGAAAAAGAAAACACTTATTCTGGACTCCATCCTAGGGGAGAAATCACAAGAACCAGTACTGGAGCAACGTTGCTCAAGACACACAATGAATGGCAAGAAGCTGTGGATTATGAACAAGGTTCTCAGCAATTTTGCCTACATGTTTTTGTATGTATTTTCAATTTCTGGCTGTCACAATGTTTGCCAGATCCCATCAGTCAGTGTCAGAAGGTAGTCAGGTCAATAAACTTTAGACCTAGCACAGAAACCAAATAAATGTTGTGACCTGAAAAGGTTAATAATCAATAGACATGAACCAGACTAGAACATTTCAATAGATACCTACTGGGGAAAACTTATTTTCCCTTCTTGAACCTTTATTATTAAATGAAGGCTGTGCTATTATTTGACTGATGTACCATCTGTAGACTTATCTATACATACATATATATGTATGTGTGTATGCATACATGTAATCATATACACTGACATCTATAAAGATACAAATTGAGTTTTAAAGTTGTTCCACAAACTTATCAACACTGAGTCAAAAAAATTCACCAGGATATTCACAGCAAATAGCTCTTTCAGTTCATTAAAGTGAAGTACTGTAGAAGTAGAACATCACCTTCGCAGCTGTTAAACTGAATGTTCTCTGGAAATCGGGACAGCACTGTAAATAAAATTTAAAGCAAGAATGATGTTTTTAATAGCATACGTGTAATATCAGACAGAAGTAAATCTATCTGAATAGAGATTAAAAAAAAAATCAGAGTACCTGGGGTAATTACATAATTTAATACTGACTCTTAACCTGCCATTTAAACAAAATATACTACTTTATCTGAACTACCTGCATTCAATTTTCAATCCAATTACAATTTTCAAGTTAAAATCAAGTGCAAAACGCCATTCTGCTGAGATGAAGCTTATTCAGAGAGTTGTAAAACTGCAGCAGCAGTATACAGGCAGTCCCCGGGTTACGTACAAGATAGGGACTGTAGGTTTGTTCTTAAGTTGAATTTGTCTGTAAGTCGGAACTGGTACATATTATAGGGGAAACTCTAGCCAAACATTTCTCCAGAGCTCAGTTTTATTCTCCCACACCTCACTTCCCTCAGTCCTTTATTCTCAAGCTGAGGTGTCTGCTGAGAAGCCGCTCTGCGTCTCCCTGGTCTGCTGGGGGGGGAGGGGCGCTAGCTTCGCATCTCCCTGGTCTGCTGGGGGGAAGCAACTAGTGCGGGGTTGCCTCACCCTGTTTGTAAGTAGGGATCTGATGTAAGTCGGATCCATGTAACCCAGGGACTGCCTGTACTAGAAGATGGTGAATAAACTTCAAGGGGTAGCCAAGTTAGCCTGTAACAGGAAAAGCTTTAAAAACAGCGGATAGTCTTGCAGCACCTTAGAGACTAACAAAACATGTAGAGCGCATCATGAGCTTTTGTGGGCACAACCCACTTCAGGTTGTACCCACGTAAGATCATGTTACCATCTACATGTTTTATTAGTCTTTAAAGTGCTGCAAGGCTATTCATTGTTTTTATTTTTTTTACAGTATTTAAAATAGGTTTCAACCATGACTAAAATAAATAAAATGAGGACATTTTAAAAACAGCTTGCAAAAAATCACAAAAGTGTATCTAACACATAAGGCAGCAGAGAAAAACAAAATCAGCAAATAAGAAATAACAATTCAGAGCTCTGATCTGGCTTCAGGAACACTACACATAACCCTTGTTGACTTCACAGCCCAATGGGAGGCCTGTGTGTGTATCCAAAAACTGAATGTGGTCCTAAACACTTAAAAAGTAAAATAAAGAAAACAAGGAGTCCTGTAGCACCATAAAGACTAACAAATTTATCTAGGCATAACCGTTTGTAGGCTGGAGCCTACTTCGTCAGATGCATGTGATGCCACAGAACTCCTTGTTTCTGCTGAAACAGACTAATGCAGCTACCCCTCTGAAACCTGAACAGATCTTACAGGATATGGGAATCATTGTAACTTGTATCCTACAACTAGTCTGATGGACCAGCATCTGATCTCTATCACACCAAGTAAATCTGGAGTGAATACACTGACTTCAATGCTGATTTGAAGTTGATACTTGGAGAAGTGATACTCTGGATTTACACGGGCGTAACAAAGCTCCATTTGTCCCATACAGTGAGGAAATATTAACCATAATTCTAAAGCCTATTATGACTCATTAAGTCTTTACAAACCATAGAATACTGCTCTGTTCTTCAAATACCAGTTAGTATAGAGCTCATGCAATACAAAGGTGGAGGGCCACCGGCAGTAATAGAATTGAACCATAAGAAGTGCAGACCCATGTTAATTCAGTCTGACCTCCCATTCTGGTGATAACATAATTATAGAGCTACTGAGTTCTAGCTCTGCCATTCCAACATTAGGCACTCAGCAACAGAGACATCAAAATATTCACTAAATTTCCCTGAGACGCCTACTAATGTCATTTGACTAACTGAGCGGATTGAATCAGATATCAGCTAGACAGGGCCAGATAACTGTGATCATGTCTCTAATTCTTCTGTACTTATATTGTAGCACTTTTGGAAGAGCCACCTACTAGAAGAATATGGAGTTTCCTCCTTAGCCCAGCAAATAGGAACATGGGTATTGTATTTTCCAGTAGAGGATGGATATTTTCAGTGAGTGACAAAGTTCCTTTGTTTTCCAGCGGGAATTAGGCATTTTTGAAATTTTTACCCAGAAAAAATAGTGATTGGAAGATGAACTAATCTCAGTTGGAATGGATTTAGAAGTTTGACTCTTTCCTGGGGCCAGTGAATTTGTTGGGGCTTTCAGGATCCTCAATCCCAATATAAATTAATGATTCATTCTCTTAAAGAGTGTGATTTAGGCTCTAAACATTAATATGACTTAAATATCACATGATGTCATTGTTATTTGATTTTGGAGTATCTGAAAATTCAGTGGCATTGAATTGAAAAGTATGCATGTGTTTGGATTTATTCTGATAATCACAGTACAGTTATTACTTGTAAATTAGCTATAGCGCAACAGTTAACAATAGGTCCTCAAAAATCCAGTGAGTTTCTTTGTTCAAATAAAGCTTTACTTAACACTGTATCTCTTTGGTACAGGCCAGACATCAAGTTGCACTAGAGAAAGCTAACTGTGCAGTCCTAAATGAAGTAAGCAAAATGACACCTGTGCTTCTATGTGAGAGTTACTGATTGTTTTCATTCTCTACTAATCCACAGAATTGTTCCCACACCACTGCTTCTCTAAAACACTGCAATTAACAGCAATATTTACGGACAGAGTGTCATAAGAAACCCTTTCAAATGAGTTGTTTTCCTGTGCAACCCCTTTATCTATTGAGAAACAAACTAAAAAAACCACATCTCCTTTGGAAGTAAGTTTGTATTGTCAAAAGGTAAGTGATCAAAAGCCACTACCCCTTGTCTATCAGGCAGAAAGACCAGAAAATGTTATATCACACATCAGATCCTTAAAAGCATAGTTAAATATCGTTAGAGTATTTACTGTAACTTTATATATCAAAGCCAAGATGCCGGCTAAACTACCTCATCTGATTATTAATAAATGACATTATACTAACTTTGGTAAAGTGCTTATATCCGCACCCACTAGCATTACGAAAGTGTATGGTTTGGAAATAGTCCTTCTTTAAGGAGCAAATTCTTTTTTTGGTTGGGGGCATCCCTTGGCACTTGCATATGCCAAGCATAGTCCTTTTGTTTACCATTTCCATTGATGTCCTTGCTAGGTTAGCATAAGAACAATAACTTCAGATGTTGAGAGAAGAAAAAGAATTGCAACAATCTAAATTCTTAAAAAACCTTGACAGCCTTTGACTATCAACAAAAAACAGTATTAAAATAGGAACTTCTGAAGGATAGTTCTAACTAGAAAACTCAATGAACACCACAGTATATTTTCATAATGGATTGGCATCCGGATGAATGGGCAATGACACTAATACATTGCAATGCTTCATATTCTAAGAAGTGCCATTGTTCAAGCATACTTCATGCACAGTTCTTTGTCCTCTGGAGTTTATATATATAAAAAAATCTTAGGTATTGGGAGAGCAAAACTAACAATATACAGGGACATTGCCATAAATGGTTATATTTTTGAGACTCCAGTATCCCTGCTGTTGGGGATGTGGAAGACTGCATCTTCAGTACAGTGGATTTCTGAAGATTTTGCCAATTGCAGTTACTTCATCATGTGTTAGATTTTTAAATAAAATGTAGGAAGTTTTCAGGGTTTTTTAAAGTGATGATACATAATCCCACCCACAGATTCCTTTGGAAATTAAATAGTGCATATTTCTTTTAAAAAGAAAGCATATAAACCACCCACATATCATCACATTATCATTGTAGTATGAAAATATAGTGTGACATTTAACATGTATCAAGATTATATCAGCAAAAAAAAAAAAAAAGGGTAGAGAATTTAAGCACCCTGGCAAGTCCTTATTTATCTATATAAGAACTAATATGGTTTCCTAAGGCATGCTCCAAACACCCTTATGTGCCACCTAATGCTTGCAAGAATGGTTGCTGTTTTAAAAATGATTATCCAGATATTATGGGGGGAGAAAAAAAGATGCACCAATGAAGGACATTTAAAAAAAACCTGTATAAACTGTACCCTTGCTGTCAAAAAGACTTCGGTGTCAGCTGCCATCTTGACATGAGGTTGCAATTCCTGTTACTGTACCTTTTTAGAGACAGGGAACATGCTTAGTGAACTGGTCCCTCACTGGTTTTCATCAAGAAAGGCTAAATTTAAAGTGGAGGAGGGGTGTTTATAGTGTTTTGATGGTTTAAAAAGAAACATCTCAGCTTGCTCCAAAAATGTCCTTTTCTGATTCTGGAGACTGGGGCCTTGATATTTCATAAAACTCCTGTTGTGACCGAGAGCTTCTTCTTGAGGTTAATATCCTTAGTATCTCAGCAAGCTGGTTTTCTAAACTGCTCATTTTTGTGTTTAAAGCCTTGATGTCCTCTTTTAGCTCATGTTTTACTTCCAGCATGGTTGCCTGAAGAGTCTGTTCTGGGATAGGGTAAAAAGAATGTTTGATTTCCGTAAGGACAGGACTGCGGTCCTGAGGGCTCCTTGTCTCCCCAACATTATCCAAACGCAAGTCACTTTTTGTAATACCACTGTCACAAGAGTCTGTCTTCTTCAGCGTAGTTTCTCCTGAAGTTTTAGTTCTTTCTGGTAAAGTCTCCATGGACTCTGCTTTGGATACTTTGTTCCAGTCTTCCCCCTTTCCACAAGCATCTTTGAATTTGGCCCAGCCTTTGCGTCTTGGGTAGTCACCAGACACTTTGCACCCTGCATAGTCTGACATAGGAGCCTGCAATTTGGCATGATCGGACACACCGGACGTTGAAGCAGACTGGTATGAAACAGGAGTTGCAGGGCTCTCCCTTACCGTTACAATGCTAGCTTTCACAATAGTGCGAGAGTGCTCTGCCAAAATGTTGCCCTTCTCCACATCCAGGTCATCTGGATCCCTCCCCCTTTCTGCTGCTAGTCGAGCTTCTTTCTGTTGCCTGAATCTTTGAAAGAGCCGACGGACCGGGTGGTCTGGTGGTAGAATCAAAGGTGCTTCATTCTTTCTTTTCATCCTCTCTTCTTCTTCACGTTTGACATCACTGATCTTGCGGAACACAATCTGCATAGAAGAAACATATTTCACACTGTTATGAATTACACATGGTCACGCAGTGGGGGGGGGAAGGAGGAAAGAAGATTGGAGAAGTTTGATCTGTTAGCGCAGTTTACTTCTAATAGTGTTAACTACAGCAGCGACAAATGTTTGTTAATAATATTGCTCCCTGTCTTGAATGGCTTATGCTCAGGGGCAGATGACTGTTTTGTGGGGCCTCGGGCAGCATAATTTCACAGGGCCTCCCCTTTACCAAGGCGCATGCGCAGTGACACCATGCGCATGCACAGTGGCGCCACGGCGCATGCGCAGGGCTTTCTGAAGCGCGGGGCCCGGGGCGGCCGCCCCGTTTGCCCCGTCCTATATCTGCCCCTGCTTATGCTACATGCTCTTTTGGTATTTAGAAGCATGCTACAGTCATTATTTGTTTCCAAAGATACTAGAAAATAACTTTTTCCATTTTGAGAGGCAAGTTGAGATGGTGTCACTCTAAATGTAACTATAATAATGGCAGTCATTCATTCTAATAGGTAGTATTACTGCCAGGACTTGTGGTTCACCAGTGTACTCATTTTTCACTATTACAAATACCTGCGTGCATGTTTTTAGGCATACTCATCCTTGAGCTCACTTACTGCACATCACATGCACTTTGTAATTGTTTTTGTGCATCTCAGTCAGCTAAGTAGGTTTGTACTACCAAGATTAATTCATATCCATGCTCATTTATTGTTGTCTCTGAGGTACTTTACAAAAATTGCTTTCCCTCTTTCTAGTTGCAGTTTTCTTATGAGATAAATATTGATAAGTTACTCTGAAGGATAGCGGGAGTTTGAGTTGGTGGACAAAATAATAGAATGCATATCTAAAATCTCTTCTACTCATAGGAATGGGGGAGCTGCCAGCAGGCTGATTATTAAAGAGAGTTGGAAAAACTTCAGAATTTAATTTTTGTAACCAAAAAAAGGGGCAGCGTTTGCCTCAGAAGTAATCCCATTTCTTTTCCAGCTCTATTAACAACAACTTCTTGATCCTGTGGGCTGATCTGTGCCACACCTGGTCTAAAGGCTGCTCTAACTTACACTACTGGTGAATGGACTCATACTACCCTCAGGAAGAATATTCTCCTCAGTAACTTAAACTCTTTAAAGGCTACATCTACCCAGGCATGACTTTGCGCAAGAACTCTTTTGCAGAAGAGTTCTTATGCAAAAACTCTTCGGAAGAGAGTGTCTACACTGGCATGTGCTTTTGCGCAAGAGCATCCATGCCAGTGTAGACGCTCTCTTGCACAAGAAAGCTCCGATGGCCATTTTAACCAGAGAGGCTTCTTGCGCAAGAAATTCATGTTGCAAGAGGGCTTATTCCTGAGCGGGAGCATCATAGTTCTGGTGCAAGAAGCACTGATTTCACACATTAGAACTTCAGTGTTCTTGCACAAGAACTCGTGGCCAGTGTAGACAGGCAGCTTTTGCACAAGATCGCACCAATGCAGACACAGCCTTTATCACTGTTGGTATTTTTCAAGCAAGAAAATAAGGTTTGCTCAGATCTGGTAGTCAGGTTGTAAAATGTGATGTACATTAAGGCTGAGGTTTTGAAAGAGGCCTACTAAGTACCTACCTCTCACTGAAAATCAAGGGAGTGGCGGGCTTTAGTTCGTTAGGGTCCTTAAAAACTCAGTCTAAAGTTATTATATCAGAAAATATTGGAGGTTCTCAATATTAATTGAAAGTGATATAACAAATCAACCCAACCCTCTATCACAGAGGAATTTATATTAAAATAATAAGAAAAGACATGTTTTCACACCACGCACAATGTGAATGTTTGTACTTGTTCCTCAGGGCTATGCAGGCCTGCATACAAAAGCTGCATTAATTCCTGGGTATTAGGAAAGGAGAAGGTGATGGTAGGAGAATCACTGAATGTTTGTCAAGTGGGAAAGAATAAAATTAGTAGGAAAGGAGATTTTACTTTCAAGTTGTAAAGAGGAGACTAAACATAAACTAAGGATGCAAAGTGTGTGTTTGTGTCCTTTCAGGAAATGGCAAGAATTAGGAGTGAATCCATAAAAATAGGAAAGGAGTCTGATTTGCAAAGCGAGAGGCAGGACATCCAGTTAGAATAAACAATGAATACAATGGTCCAAAGTAAGGGTTTGTCCCCACACAAACGTTTCACCAGTTTAAGCAGTGGAGCTAAACTGATTTCACTTTGCACATGGATGCTCTGAGATCAGTTTAAATCTGATTTACACTGATTGTGCAAAATGTATACAGGAAGTGGTGATGAGAAGTGGGCTGTAATCACAACTATAACTAGGGAGGGCACAGCAACTGTTTGTAGAGCTCAACAGTGGGCCACTGTTCCAATGGCAAACAGGGAGTGTGTCTAACTGTTTAAGACTAAGGCTGCTACTAGTACACCACGCAGACAGGTGCTGAATTAGCCAGTGAGAGTTCTGGAAAGTGACAGCATGTCCATATCCCAGTTGTGCAAGTCCTTGCATGATGCCCAGAAATGGTATACAAGAGTGCTTCAGGCCAAGAGTGACTGGAAGGTACGAGCAGGCCCAAGAAGGTGGACACTATGGGGAAGATTTTCAGGAGTGGTCAGTAACCCAGCAGTTCCCATTATTTTGCATTTAAGTACCTAAACGGGACCGGTTGAACAATGAACTCTTGAAAATGTGGCCTTTTACACAGTTCTCCACATTGTGTGTTAAAGAGGCTCAAGCCCCAATGAACACCCATTCCTGAAAAGCCCCTGTACAACTGGTGGGGACATCAGTTTAGGCATGAACTCATCTCCATTATGCTAACCAAGCACCTTGCTACCTGTTTCCAGCTGCAAGATGCCAGGTGAGTGAGGAAATATCTTTTATGGGACAAACTGCTGTTGGTGAGAGAGACATGCTTTCAAGCTTACACAGAACTCTTCTGCAAGTTCCGTCTAAGTATTTTTCCTGCTACCAGGCAGTCACATAACACCACTCTCATTAATGCAAAATCCGATCCACTGGCCTCCCTGCCCTGTTCACTGGCTTTTGCTGACATAGATCTGTGCAGTACTCAACCCTACAGGGCCTACAAATGTTACATTGCTCGCGCTCTTTATTCTGCTATCATTCACAATGAATTATACTGGAAGTATCATCTCCATCTGCTGGAAGATTTACTATATTTGATTGACGAAAAGGAGATTATTTTCAAACGTTGCTTTCAAGGTTGATCAAATCTCACACTTCGGTATGCAAGTGCCAGGCTGGCAAGGCAGATGCTCCATCCCTAAATACCTGTGCAACATTGCGCAGTTGGCTAGATAGTTTCCAAGGATTTCAGCCTAAACCAACAGGTTACTGCCAATAGCACAAGACAGGCCACTTAACTGGAGGGATCAGCTGTGTGAAATCCTGTGCTCCATTTTAAAAAGGCATTTTGCTACATCACTCAGCAACCCACACGTGGTGGTAGAGTCGGTTTTTACCAACTGCAGCCCGAATGGAGCTGAGGGAGTGTGGAGCAGCCACTCAGCAACAGCTGCCCCTAGAAGCAATCCAGGTGCCTGAACCTAAATACCATTGGGGCTCTGCAGGTGCACACAGTGGAACAAAGCGCTGCAGCCCATTTATAGAGTACAATGGGACTAGACTATCCACGCCCCCGCAGCAGCTGAACCTTGCCTGCCACTATCGAAGGGAAACCAAAGCCATGGTCTTTAGGGAGTCGAGTGGCAAAGATGAATGCAAACTTTGCACAGCCTCTGGGACCTCAGGCTGGGCTTTCCACAAGGACGGAGGGAGTAGGCTCCCCTGTGTAGTTTTTTCAATCACTCTTGTGTACCTGTGTGGAGTTGGCCACAATCTGATCTGTTTAACTGAACAGAGCATAGAGAGAAGTGCTGCATGTTGCTAACTGTAATGAACGCAAAGGACAGAGCTGTGCTTGATGTGTTCCATGAGTCCTCCCATCATTGTCCAGTGGAGGCCACTGGAGGGTGTGCTTGGTGTACCTGAAGTGCCGTTAGTCACACCTTCATAACCCTACAGCTCTGGTAACAGCTTGATTCTAGAGCTGCCAAGAGGATGTTAAGCTTATTGAACAGCATAACTTTGGAAAGCTATGTAAAAGCTATGTGAGACAGAGCAGCAAGCCAATGAGATATTTTAAAACTGCTCATCTGCAGCCACAGCTTTATAACAGGCAGCGAGGTGGGTACTTTTTGCAAACAATATGGCCTGAGTCCTCCACTGCTACGAATCAGCATAGCTCCCTAGATGTCAGTGGATCAAATCCCATACCCACCACTGACCAAAATGTTTTAAAAATTGTATTTCAAAGACTGCACCAGTAAAGCTGAATGTTCATGAAACAAAGCTGCAATATCTGTAATAGATGCCCCCTTCTCTCTTTGCACAAAGGCACTTGCTTTCAGGGGGCCCACTCAGCTTTAAACATCCTCTACCTACCTGCTGCAGCTCATACAAATCTCATTTCTGGCATCTCATTGTGTAAGAAATGTAACCAAATAAGCAAGCACAAAAATTAATAGTGCAATCCAGGGTTATACTTGTCTTACTGTGTAACCATATGATCTTACTGGCAGGTAGGTGCCTGACTTCCACTGAATATCACATATTCCTTATAATGTTATTCTGGAAGTTCTCATTATTCACATAAATAAGTCAGCCGTTACAGACTCCTACACCAAGTTCTCGGCCTCAATATTACCTTGTGGAAATCAGCTACACAGGTTGTTTACATAGCATTTCCTTTTATGAGTTGTACATTTTTGCTTTTCCATTAAATTCAATGTTTACTTTTTTTCTCTAGTTAAGGGAAATAGCAAATAGATGCACCTGATTTTTCTTTGTATTGCTATTTTGTTTAGTTGCCTCTCTAAACAGAGAATCTTTTCAAACTGGCCTCATAGAATTATTTCCATGCCTCTGATTATTTTCCATCATCAACACACTATGGCTTGAGACATATGTTTAACACTTA